TTTTTGGATGAAAAAATGGACAGCAAACCATTCTTAAAGGAAAGGTTCACCTTTGGGAACGTTACATGTTCCCACTGCTGCAGTTGCTGCCTTCTCTCCCTGTACCAGCTGTCACTCTTTGAAAACAGCGCAACTGTGCAGGGCTCCGGCCACACAGTCGCATCATTCATTCACAGAGCTCTGTGAATGAACTACAAGTCCCGACAGCCTTTACGGCTGTCGGCATGTAGTTCTCTATGAGCTACCAGGGTGCTGTTGAGTGTTCTAGGTAGTTCATAGATTCTTCCTGTCGGTGTGAAACTGCCTGCCCATACGATGTTTGAGCACACAGGTACATTGACAGTGTGCAGGAGACGTGCATGACACCAGCAATCCAGAAGAGAATAGATTTTTTTTTTTTTTTTTAAAAAGTGAACTTATTCTTTAAAGAAGAGCACTACCCAAAAGGGAAAGTTCCGCTCTAAAGACTGGTCCCCCGCTCCCCATTAAGGATTGGCACCCATGGGGAGCGGGGTACTTGAAATTGAAAGGAACCCGCTTGCACTTGTTGTCCTCCCCCCACCCCCCCGTAGTCTTCTGGGACATGCGATAGGTCCTAGAAGACCACAGGGCCATTCAGAAAGCGCTACTCGCACATGCACAGTGGGCACTCAGCTGCAGAAAAAATGAGGAAGGGTTGTAACAGCGCAAACACTGCAAAGTCCTGGGAAATGGTAGTATGGGTGATGGTGGTATTAGTGGCTACTGTATGAAGAGCGTAGGATTCCGTGTGGCACTGAGGGCAAGGCTTCCAAATAAGCTGTAGCAACTTCTGTAGATGAGAAAAAGGAGAGAAGCGCCTCTAAGTGCAATAAGTCTTTTAATTCAAGTCTAAATGTAGAAACACTCACATGTGTGAAGTAATCATAAGCATAAAAACCGTGGTTAACAATAGTTAACGGTGGGGTGGTAACCCGGGTGAAGAGCCGTCATCTCTCTGCGATGTGGGGAGGTCAGCTCTCAGCTGGAACAGCGTGGTGGCTGGAGGGGGAACAGTGGTGAGGCCAGCCTTCATGCACCTTCAAGCTGCTTGAAAAAGGAGTGCACTTCCGCCTTCCACGGCCAGTGCATGCTCCGAAACGCGTCGCAGTGCACCCTGGGATCTGACGTCATCACGGCCACGCCGCCGCTACGTTCCAGCATGCGTTCCATCCGGCTTTGAGGGAGGACGTGCATGAAGGCTGGCCTCACCACTGTTCCCCCTCCAGCCACCACGCTGTTCCAGCCGAGAGCTGACCTCCCCACATCGCAGAGAGATGACGGCTCTTCACCCGGGTTACCACCCCACCGTTAACTATTGTTAACCACGGTTTTTATGCTTATGATTACTTCACACATGTGAGTGTTTCTACATTTAGACTTGAATTAAAAGACTTATTGCACTTAGAGGCGCTTCTCTCCTTTTTCTCGGCACTCAGCTGCAAGCTGTCATTGCCAGGTGCCCACACTGAAGATGTCGGCACCAGGAACAACGGACAGCCGGTAAAACAAGTGGTGGTGAGGACACCATGGAATCGAGGGACAGGTGTGTGGCTGTTCTTTAAAAATCAGCAGCTACAGTTTTTGTAGCAGCTTTTTTTTTTATTACAATGTGACTGGAATTCTGTTTTAAGACTCTATTCAGACCACTGCGACCTGAAAGTTGCATGACTTTGCCAGGTGACTTCCTGACAATTTGCTGGCGACGTCAGCACAACTTTAAAAATGGGAATATCCTCCTGCGCTTAATATGGATGCGTCCCTATCCTAACATCTGCTATCTGCCTCAACCAATAAGTCATAAATACCACATACTAAATAGTGAAGCGCTAAAAAATACCAAAAAGATACCCTACCCAAGCACAACTTTGATGCCAATGTCGGATCCAAATCATATCAATATAGATGAGGATCTGACTTGGAGGCGACATCCATGAGTCTATGAGTACAAGTCAGATAGAAGTTGCCATGAAGTAGTACAGGAACCTTTTCTAACCACGTAACATCTGCCCCATAGCACTTTTACTGCTAAAGGGTGGCATTCCTGTGCAAAATCACGTATATAACATGATTTTGTACTTCCGCCACACGCATGCCACTGGAGGATCGCTTCTGCTGTGAAATGTCACAGCAAAAAACAATCTACAAGTTCCAGTGAGCAGTTACCCACCAGCACCTACAGATCGTAGGTCAGGGAGGAAGAGCCGAGCTGTATCTACTGAGCTGAGAACACAATCCATCACTTCCCATAGTAAAAGCACCACCTGATTGTTGCCAATACTAGAATAAAAAATAAATGTAATAAATTCCAGTATATACACACACCATAGTTTGTAGATGCTATGACTTTTGCGCAAACTAACCAATATACAATTTTTGGGATTATTTTTTTTTTTACTAAAAATATTTAGAATACATTTGGGCCTAAAGTTATAAAAAAAAATTTGCTTTTGTTTATAGTGCAAAACTTAAAAACCGCAGGTGTGATCAGATTCCACCAAAAGAAAGCACTATTTGCGGGAAACAAGGACATACATTTCATTTGCGTGCAGCATTGCATGACCGCGCAACTGTAAAGTAATGCAGCACTGTATATATATTTTAAAAAATGGCCTGGTCAGGAAAGGGGTATATCTTCAGGAGGGCAAGTGGTTAAGTCTGCTCTCATTGACTAACATGGGATTTCACATGTCATACGAATCGGGGTCTCCCATGTCAGATCCCAAGTCCTGGCAGTGTGAACCACGCCTATGAGGTTTCAGATGTAAACACATGATTATCTACAGGCATACCTCAGTCTACGAATTTAATGAGTTCTGCAGAACTTTTCATATTGCAAAAAATTAGCAAACCGAAACGTGGTTTCCCATAGGAATGCATTGAAAACCAATTAATCCGTTTCGGAGGTCAGAAAAAAGTAAAAATCTGTTCTGTTAAAAATCTGTATCTGTTCAAAACTTTTATAAAGTGCACTTTAAAGGCGTAAATACTGTACAGGGACATGAATAAAAATTAATCCATTCCTGTTGCAAAAAAAAAAAAAATTCATAATGCATTCAAAAACAAATTAATCCGTTCCGGAGGTCAGAAAAAAGTAAAAAAAAAAGTCTTCTGTTCAAAACTCTTTATGAAGTGCACTTTAAAGGCATAATACTGTACAGGGACACGATTAAAAAAAAAAATATTCGTAAATGCACTGAAAGCCAATTAATCTGTTTGTATTGCAAAAAAAAATATAATTGTAAACCGAGGCATTATTTTCAATGGATTTTCATTCGTAAACCAAAAATTACATTAACCGAGGCGTTCGTAAACCGAGGTACGCCTGCATTTACATTTGCCTACATCTGTGTCCATTTTTAAGGCAAGAAACAGTTTTTGTTTATACTTTTGCCACCTCTGATTGTTTTTTAAAAAATAAATAAAAACAATGGAAAATGCAAACTGACCTGAAGAGGGATGTGCAAACTGAGTGAAACGCGTTGATCCTATACGCTTATTGTTTGTTCATCACCAACTTACAAAATTCTGTATGCTGGTGGTCCATGATATTCATTGCTTCTATATAAAAGGTCTATTTTAACTGGATGGATTAATACATTTTTTATAGTTTTTGAGTTGTATATTTATCCCATTATGAGGTACATATAAAGTCCCTTTTGTCTGAGCAAGATAGTTCCACATTTCTGCTTAGGTGTGGTTACTTATGCTTGCTCTTTTGTTCCTGCTTCAGGGCCAGTTCACACTACATGCGTTTCAGTGCAGGTCCTGGATAGAGATTCCCTGCCGGCACTTGCAGAGTATCACTGACAGGGAGAGGTCTGTATGTAAACAATACAGATCTCTCCGCTGTCAGCTCCAGCACGCTGCTTTGTATGGCTCTGCATAGCACAGCCATACAAAGCAGCATGTGCACACTGTAAAACACAGCACACAGATAACACTGATTGCCCCAGATGTTAACCCCTTCCTGCCCAATGTCATCAGCACTGATGATTGTTATTAGTGATCACTGGCAGTTCGTTCCTCCCCCAGTCTCAGAATACCTGCCGCAGTCCCGCTGATTGCTGCCATGACTAGTATTACAAAAAAAAAGAAATCCCAGTGTACATACCGCCATTTGTAGATGCTACAACTTTCACGTAAACCAATTCATTTACACATATTGGGATTTTTTTTTTTCTTAGCAAAAACATTTTGGCCTAAATTTATGACAAAATGCGATTTTATAAAATTTTTACTGGTCATTTTTACTTTTAATAGCAAAAAGTAAAAAAATATAGTTTTTTCAACTCAAAATTGTTGGTCTTCTTATGTTTATAGTGCAAGAAATAAAAACCGCAGAGCCAACCAAATACCTCCGAAAGAAAGCTCTATTTGTGTGGGGGACAAAAACTTCATTTGGGTGCAGAGTTGCATGACCGCGCAATTGTAACAGCACCGGGTCGCAGAAAATGGCCTGGTCAGGAAGGGGGGGGGGGGGGGGGTAAAATCTTCTGGAGGCCAAGTGTTAAACAAGTCCCTGACCCTTTCCAAAAAGGCAGCAGCTGAAAAAAAAAAAAAAAAAAAAAAAAACAGATGTGAATGTGTTCCATAGGAGACCAGGTTAAATGGACTGTAGTGTGTTTCTGCAAGAAGCACTAAAAACGCATTGGTGTGAACGGAGCCTGGCCACTGCTTGTGTTAGATATGACACCAGGCAGACTCGTACGACACGGCAGATCGTATGGTGTGTACTGAGCCTGTAGTCTGGAGACAGAACAGACAACACCCGGGCTGGGTCCTCCTGCCATGACATCACATGAAGGGACATCGTGTCTCCTGGTCAGGCTGAGCTCCCTCCATACACTGGAAGTGATGGCGAACACCATGACCCCTCACAGCTCTGTACAAGGACCAGCTACCATTGCAGCCCGCCACCCACACACCGACTCCATAGTGTGACACAGCCCCGTCCACCTCTGCCAGCCCTCCGCACTCACCCAGAATATGAGGTTCAGGAAGACCAGGACGGTCTTAGAGGAGATCACCCCGCACTGCCCCATCTCTCCGCTCACAAGATGGCGGCCCCTCTGTATGACGCAGCTCCCGGCTCACGGGCTCCCAAGGCAACCGGACCCGCCCACCGCCGCGTAGAGCCGCAACGCCACGCCGCTTCCTATTGGCTCCCCTGTGGCCGCTCATTACCATCTTTGATGAGGGAGAACCCTCTCATTACACACGGTGTAGAGTCGTGGCGGAGGTGAAGCGGTGCTGTGAGGCGGCTCTACCTACAGGCATACTCTGCTAAGATGGAGGAGTCATTTCTTCTACCCACCTCATTCTGGTATTCATTGCTCCTACATATGTTCCAGTCACAAAATAAAATCTCACTTATGTGTGGGGAAAAGGCCAGCCTGTACAAGAGCGAGGCCCACTCACACCATATGCATTGTCATGCCATGACCTTTAGGGTGCTTACCCTAAGTGCACTCCTAACAACCCCGGCTGGGTGTGACTTGGCATGCGATTTGCATGCCATGCAATTTGTAAATTGTATGCCAAGTCGCACCCTATTGTCCGCAGTTAGATCGGTCATATTGGTTCGGTTTCGACTTGGGGGCCACATCGATTTCTAAAGTAGTACATGCACTACTTTCGCTGCGATTTGCGTAGATATCTGTCAGGTGTCTTGCAAATCGCACCTGAAATGGGCATGTCATCCGACTTTGAAATCGTGCGACTTCACTGTAAGCCACATGATTTCAAAGTTGGGCTTAATGGGACCGTAGACTAACACCCTGGTCACGTTGGGGGCGATTTGCATGCCATGAGACTTGCAAATCGTATGCCAATTCACACTTCACACCCTATTGTCCGCTATTAGAGCGGTCATATCAGTGTTGTTCAAACTTGGTCGGAGCCGCACCGATTTCTAAAGTAGTACATGCACTACTTTTCATGTGATTTGCATAGCCATCTGTATCAGATGTCTTGCAAATCGCACCTGAAATTAGCAGTCCCCCCAACTTTGAAATCGTGTGACTTCACTGTCAGTTGCACGATTACAAAGTCGGGCTTAATGTGACTGCAATGGTGTATTTAGGTTTTGTGCTGCCCTAGGCAACACAAAATTTGGACCCCCCCCCCTCCCCAGCAAAGAGAGCATAATACTAACCAACGCCAGACCCCCCCCCCCCCCCTCCTGCGGATAGAGCCTGACAGTGACCAACAACACCCCTGCTCCACCCCCCCACCAGAGAGCCTTCCATTAACACCCTCCCCCCCCCAGCGACAGAGAAAATGACACTCACCTTCACAGTCTGGCCAGCGGGCTCTTCAAACACTATTAGTCTGCAGCCTCTCTGGGATCCCACCTGGTCCCCATGCCACATATGTCCCTTTTTCCGTGGTTCCAGTGCTGCCATCCTAAAAAATGCCACCCTAGGAAAATGCCTTGTTTGCCTTGTAATAAATTTGCCCCTGTGTGACTGTGGACTAATGCTGGCCATACACTATACAATTTTCTTACAAATGTCTGTCCAATTTCCTTTAGATTTACCTTCAACTATGTAGTGCAAGGGCTTTCCCAATTGGATACAACTGAAAGTGTGGTTTAGGTTTGACCTCATATTATATGGTTTTTGGTAAATCTAAAGCAACATTCTCAAGAAAATTGTATAGTGTATGGCCTGCCTAACCCCCCCCCCCCCTCCCCTGGTCACATCGGGTGTGACTTGGCATGCAATTTGCAAATCGTATGCCAAGTCACACCCTATTGTCTGCTATTAAAGCAGCAGTCATATCAGTGTGGTTCCTACTTGGTCGGATCTGCACCGATTTCTGAAGTAGTGAATTCACTACTTTCGGTGCGATTTGCATAGACATCTGTGTCAGATGTCTTGCAAATCGCACCTCAAATCGGCAAGTCACCTGACTTTTAAATCATGCAATTTTACTGTAAGTCAGACGATTTCAAAACCAGCTTTGATGTGACCGGAGTTTAAAAGCGATTTCCACAGCATTTTGCAGAAATGCACTACAGTTCATTTACATAGTTTCATAGTTAGTCTGGCTGAAAAAAGTCCATCCAGTTCAACCATAACAGAGAAAAACAAAACATGATTTCCTATGGGACACATTCACATCTCTGCGATTTCACCCGGTGCCAGGGGTAGACTGACAACTCATGGGGCCCCTGTGTCCTTGCCCAAACTCAAAAAAGCCTATGAAAAAGGTACCAGGGGCATCTCATGGGGCCCCCATACTGACCCCGGGCCCTCGGGTAGTGTCCGAGTTTCCAAATGGTCAGTCCGCCCCTGCCCCGAGCGTTTTTTTGGAAAGGGTCAGGGACTTTTTGAAACGCAAAAAAGTTGTGTTTTTGGTTCTATAGACCTCAATGGAAACGCTGCAGAAAAGCATGTAAAGCATTTTGGATGTGGTTCTTATGCGTTTTGCTTTTTAATCTGCCTAGCAACAAGAAAATGTAAAAAAAGCAAAATGCATCAGAATGCGGCAAAAATGCAACGCAAAATGCACTGCAGAAACGGATCAAATGCAAACTGTATAGATTGGAACCTAGACAAGACAATTTGGTGTGCACTGAAAAAACTGTATGGCAAGGTGCATCATTGCGACACACTAAACCACAGCCTAATATAGCAGGTACATAAAGCTGAAAAATAATTTAGATTTTGTGATGTTTCAATAAAGTTACAAAAAATGAATAAAAAGGTAAACAGTGCAACAGCACATCACACCGCTTCTTCACAGTGCAGATCAACTGGTTTGCATTAGACAGATGAGCATAACGCATGCTTGCTGGTGTGAATGGGCCCTAAGGGCTGGATCAAACCACAAATCGCACAAGAACACGCTCTGTGTTTCTGTGCAATTCATATGTGATCTGGGCGCAGTGTGATTTCAGCCTATTCATTGAAAGGGCTGAAAGTGTACCAGACAGCACCGAAAGCAGCGCATGCACCCTTTTAAAAAACTCACAGCAACCGGATCACAAGGTACTACTGTATTATGGGACTGGATACAGGCAAACACAGCTGTATTTGTGACCTACCTTTGGGGTGTCATTAAGATAACACCTGCTGCAGATCGCAACTGCAGTGCATTTTGAACGTGGTAAGAGGAAGTCATCATGGAGCGTAGGTTTCCCACACCACGTTCTGCTGTGAACAAGCCCTAAGGCTGCATTCCCACTTGAGTGATTTGTAGCTTAAACCTCAAAGCTACAAAAGTGCTCAAACCTAAAGCGGTAGTAAACTGCATGTAAAAAAAAAAAAATGCCATGCAAGGTAATGTCATAATGTGTTAGTATGCATCGCATTCTGAAGAACTTACCTTAAAACAGAGCCCTCCAGCGGTACACTGTCACCGCTGCAGAGGCTTCCATCTTCACCCGCTCTTCCTTCCAGATTGGTGAGCTCAGGCCATCTGACTGTCTGAACCGCAATGATGTCACTCCCACGAATGCACACGAGAGTCCCAGGCCATGGCTTCAGAGCGCACGTGCAGCTCTCGAGATGTGCGAATATCCCCTGAATGCGCACATTTAGGAGATATTCATTTTGCCTACAGATAAGCTTTATTATAAGATTACTAATTATTAATAAGTTATTATTATTATTATTATACAGGATTTATATAGCGCCAACAGTTTGCTCAGCGCTTTACAATATAACGGGAGACAATACAGCAACAATACAGTTCAATACAAGAGGGATAGGAGGGCCCTGGGCTTGGAGCTTACAATCTAAGAAAAAATAAAGAGTTTACTACCACTTTAAAAAATGGATTGTTCTCTCTGTTGCCTGTTTACATGATCATGTGTGAACAGACACCACAGAGAACAATTGTTTTTTTTTAAGTTTGAGCATTTTGGGAGCTTTGAGCTACAAATCGCTGAAGTGAATGCTGAATGCAGCCTAAGTGTTTCCTTCACATGGGCTTCATCAGGTCAGTCACATTTTTTACTAAGAAAAAAGTGATGAAAATGGATTCAGGTTACATCAGTTTGCACATCCATCTTTTAGGAAGTCCAGATTAGTCTGCATCTCAGACAAAAGCATAAACAAAAATGTTCCTTGCTAAGGCCTGGTTCACACAAGGCATGTGCATCCGTGCTCCTTAATGAAGGCCATATATCCCTACATGGGGATGAACAGGTGAATCCCTGTGCTGGAAGACCTGTCAGTTGGGACATAGTGGCTGCCTGGGCACAGCTGCTGCTCCCAATGTGACATCCATGCCATGCAGGTGGGGGTGCGCAGTTCTGAACGCATCCTGGGTGCATTCAGGGTCATACATCTGCACCCACACAGATGTCAGATTGAGAAAAGCAGATGTGTTCATACAGCTGCTGCGTCCCAATTGGCTGCGATGGGACACAGCCTTGTTCAGTATAAAACAACAGACACTGATGTAGGTATATATAAACGTATGATCATCCGTTTACATACACCCACCTATAGACATACATTGTGGTTCACTCTGGATCCATCTGAAAAATGACAGACTGAAAGTCTGTGTCAAAGGGCCCTAAGGACTGATGTGATCTGGTGTTGTTTCCTGCTTTTGATATATATTTGAAACAAATATCAGATGTAGGTTAGCAAGTCGCCTTTGATTTGGCACAGTAATCATATGTTATAAGGGGAGTACCAGGGGCGGACTGACAACTCATGGGGCCCCCGGGCAATAGGGGATCATGGGGCCCCTGTGTCCTTGCCCAAACTCAAAAAAGCCTATGAAAAAGGTACCAGGGGCATCTCATGGGGCCCCCTACTGACCCCGGGCCCTCGGACAGTGCCTGAGTTTCCAAATGGTCAGTCCACCCTTGGGGAGTACACATGAAAGTTCAGAAGTCATGTTTGAATTGCTTGGTGTTGCTCTGTATATCTGAAGCATGTTTTATTGAGGTGCATTTGAACTGCAGGCAAAGAGCAGATCATGCATAGACTTTTCCTGTCAAATGATGCGTTTTCCAGTTAAATGCAGTTGTGTTGAAATGTGAAATGCAGCATTTACATGAAGTCTAATAATACTGTACCTT